GTCCCAGCCCCAGCCCAGCGTCTCAGGACTGCGCCGAGGCCGTCTCCCCCGGCCGCCCTCCAGCTGGGCGCCGGCTCATGCTCCGCGCCCGGGCCCCAGGTCTCTCCAGGAGCGGAGCCCGGATCCTCCTCCCCGACTGTCCTCCGCGCGCGGCTCTCCTCTCCACGCCTCTCCTCGTCGCAGGCGCGCTGCCTCCCTCCCTACCCGCTGGCTCTCTCGCACACACTGCCCACCCAGAGGTTCCCTAGGTGCGCGCCAACCCGCCTCTCCTCTCTCCCCCTCCGGCTCCGGCTTTCTCCCAGCCTCGGCTGCAACAGTGCACCCACCTGTCCAGGCCCCGCCCCCGAGGCACAGGTGAGCCCCGCCCCCGACGAGCCCTGGGAAGGGGCAAGAGACCCTCTGGCCTACCTGGGGCAGCAAGAAGTGGGGCCAGTAAACTAGTAACTGGCAACCCCCTGTCCCCCCCCCGGCCCCGCCCCCACACGTCCCGACAAGGGATGGAGGGACGGTTGGGGCGTAGGTGGGGGCGAGTTACCTTCCGGACTCTGAGGGAAACTGAGGCATTGCCCAGGCAGGCACCAGTAGGTGTTGCTCCCCAAGCAGAAGTGGAGGTACATGATGGGGTGACGTATGAAGTTTTGGTTTCAGGGCCTTTCGTGGCCTACACCGACCTCACTTACTATTTTAGGTAACAAGAGTAAACATGATGGTTGGAAGGCAATGGCCACTTAATTCAGCCATAGTTTCATCTTCTAGGTCTGATTCGAAGATACTTCCTTCTAAGCCTCAACCACACCTCCAGGAAACACTAGGAAGTTATATGGCCCCCAGGATGAACCCCAATTGACTTTTCCCAGACTAGGATGAAATAGGTGTTGGGCAAAAGTCGATGTTAGAGGGTTCTGGAGAATTAAAAATCAAAAAAGAAACTCATTCTAGAGTTGAAAAGATCATCAAGGCATTCTGTAGTATTCCAGTTCCCTGCCTTCAGGCAGGTAAAACATCTGATTTAAAAGAGATAATTAAGGTCTAGAGGAGCAAGGTGAATTGCCTCAGGTCATACAGCAGGTGACAAAGCAATTTTATTTTCCATTTTTTCTCCTAGGGAAAATGGTCGAGAACCAACGGAAAAAGTGGAGAATAGAAAGCATTCTGACATTTTAAAATTAAATGAATATCATGCAAATACTTTTCCAAGACGGACGTTCACAGAATCGAGTGCTATGTTTTCCCTTCTCTCTGCTATCACCTTACTTGGATGTTCAACAGTCCAGTCCTCTCTAGTGGACTATTGTAACTTTAGCTCCCTGCACTCCAGGCTCTTCCACCCCACCGCAGCCATACTCTCCACTACCACCATATAGTCTTTAAATTTAAATTTAAATCTCTAACATGTTTATACACCTGGCTAGAAGTATTTAATGGCTTCCTAGTGCTTATTGACTAAAATGCAAACCGTAAATCTGAATCCAAGGCCTTCCAGAATCTTTTCCAACTTTGTGACCATCTGAAATCTGCTCTAGCTAAAATGAATTTATTCACTGCTCTTCAACACATTTTCTTTTTTAGTTGGTCAGGTTTGATTCTTTCTTCAAGGTCCATTTTGGGTTCTATGAAGCTTTGTTGGATGAGCCCAATTCTGAGCAACTCCACTATCCTTGGAGCTTTAGTTTTTACAGTGGGCCCTGCCTGCTGATACATACAAACTCACTTTTTAAAATATTTATTTATTTATTTTTAATTCTTTAATGTCACCATATGTTTGACCCCTTTTACCCCATCTACCTCCCTCTTCCCCATCACTCTCTGATAACCACTAGTCTATTGTCCATATCCATGAATCTCTAATCTCTGTTTATCCTGTTCGTTTGTTGCTTTTAGGTTTATATCCCACATATAAGTGATATCATGTGGTTTTTCAACTTTTTCTGTTTGGCTTATTTCACTTAGCATGATTATCTTGAGGTCCATCCAGGTTGTCGCAAATGGCAGTATTTCATCTCTTCTTATGGCTGAGTAATATTCCATCGCATATATGTACAGCTTCTTTAGCCAATCATCTTTCGTAGGACACTTCGGTTGCTTCCATGTCCTGGCCACCGTGAATAATGCTGCTATGAACATCAGTGTGCAAATATTTTTTCGGATATTAGTTTTCAAGTCTTTGGAAAACTAATATCCAACAGAAGGATTGCTGGATCATATGGTAGATCAATTCTCGGTTTTTTGAGGAAACTCCATAATGTTCAGGTTCACTTTTATGTGTAACTCTTGTTCCCCAACTTCACTGTGAGGCTTCAAACGTGGGAACTTCATATCCTAAGTATGTAGCACATTGGGGAGGAAAAATTATCCTCTACACTTCAAGCTCTTCTGGATGGGCTAATAACCAAATTAACACAAGACAAATTAGCAGGAGGGAAACAGATTTAAGTTTAATGACATGTATACTTTCTGTACAAATGAGAGAGACCCAGGAAAACTGAGTAATCAAAATGGTGGAAGCCGCTTTTTCCTGTGGGAGACACCAAGTTGAGAGGAGCGCGGCCTTCTCCTCTCCCTGCCATGGTATGTGCTCGTCCACTGATACTGGTGTACTCCGAAATGCGGGAATCATCTGGCAAAAATGTCACTTTGTCAGCTGTGTTCAAAGCTCCCATCAACCTTATATTGTGAATTTTTTTCACACCAACTTGCGCAAAAACAATAGACAGCCCTATGCTGTCAGTGAATTAGCAGGTCATCAAACCAGTACTAGGTCATGGGGTACTGGCAGAACTGGGGCTCAAATTTCCAGAGTTCGAGGCAGTGGGACTCATCATTCTAGCCAGGGTGCTTTTGGCAATATGTGCCACGGAGGCCTCATGTTTGCACCAACCAAAACCTGGCACCGTTGGCACCACAAAGCAAACACAATACAGAAGTGATAATGCTGTCTGCTCTGTCCTGGCTGCCTTGGCCTTACCAGCACTGGTCATGTCTAAAGGTCATTGTATTGAGGAAGTTCCTGAACTTCCTTTGGTGGTTGAAGATAAAAAGTTGAAGGCTACAAGAAGACCAAGGAGGCCGTTTGCTTTTTAAGAAACTTAAGGTCTGGAATGATATAAAAAAAGGTGTATGGCACTTGGCGAAAAACTGCCTCCCTCGAGAGTAACTACAACTCTCCCATGCACAAGATTCTCAATATAGACCTTAGCAGAATCTTGAAAAGCCCAGAGATCCAGAGAACCCTCCGAGCACCACGCAGAGTCCTAAAAAAGAATCCACTGAAAAACCTGAGAATCGTGTTGAAGCTAAATCCATAGGCAAAGACCGTGCACCGGAACACCATTCTTCACCAGCCCAAGAACCACAGGCTCTGGGTAGATAAAGCAGCAGCAGTGCTAGAAGCCACATCAAATGAGAAGAAGCGGGTTCCAGGCAAGAAGCCTGTGATAGGGAAGAAAGGAAAGAAGGCTGTTAGTGTTGTGAAGCAGAAGAAGCCTTTGATGGGGAAAAAAGGCTGCAGCTACCAAGACACCAGCAGCTGAAAAGAAGCCCGTGGAAAAGAAACCCACCACAGAAGAAAAGAAGCCTGTGGCATAAACTGAAATTAGTTTATTCCATAAAAGTCAAATGACTTTAAGACAGCTAATTTTGAATAAAAACCTGATCAAAGAGGCAGTGAGAAAAAAAAAAATGGTGGAAGCCATCACCTTTTGCTAAAGACAAAGATTCTGGGGGTGGAGAGTCAGTTATGGGAGCTTGCTAGGGTAAGCACAGAGAAGATAATATTATTATGAAGATTTAAACCGTTACAAATGTAAATATCCTTTTTTACAAAGGGTAACTTCTATTTGGTTTTCAGAGCTTCTCTCAGGTCTACTTTTTCTTAAAGATAACTAGCCTAAAATAATATCCCAAAGTGGCATATTTTGGGGTGGCAAACTCTGCTCCTCTTCATAGCACAGTACCCATTTGGCATTCAGTAATGTTTGAGGGTGAAGGTAGCCCTTGGAGGGAACATCTCCCAGAAATTTCAGGGTAGTTCTTTAGCAAAAGGTGAATCTGAAGAACAATTCTCTAATAATAGCCCCAGTGAAATGTCTCTGTGAAGTTTCAAACCACAGCTGTGTGCCACTTCCCATGCTCTTTCTCACCAAAAGACAAGAGCAGCCAGCATGTACGAGCTTGGCTGAGGCAGGTGGGAGGTGACCAGGGTCCCTGTAAATGGAGTCTCTCTCTCATTGGGAACAACGAGACTGGATGGAAGGTTGAGTCAGTTTAAGGACTTTGTCATGGTAACATGCCTCAAAAACGAACCTTCTGAGAAAAATACGCAATCACTTCAATCAACCAAACTCTTGAAGTATCTATTATGTGGGAACTGGAAGAGATATAAAACAGAGAGCATGCCGTTAGCTGAGGAGAAAAGATATTCCACAGAAAAAGAAATCTGACATTTTAAAGGCCGAGTTTCTAGTCCAAAAAGCAAATTCCAGAGAAATTCAGAAAAGGAAAGAGATCACTCTAGACCTCCCCATTCTGCGCCTTCCTCTTCTCACTCGTTATACCTTAAACAGATTATTCCTTTCCTTGCTTATGGCGAGAGGGTACAGGGGTGGAGTGGGGTGAGGAGACCAGGAAACCCTTGTGGCTCTTCTCACCCCCTCTTCTGTTCTCTTTCCTGCCGTGGTTGCCTCCTCAGTACTGAGATAGCCCTCACACACCCAGCCCCTGCTTTCAGCCTGTTTGCTCCAAATTCATTTTTGACTCCTAGTGATTTTAATGTAGGGAAGAGGCAAGAGAACTAAAGTGTTGAATCAAGCTACATTCAGAGACTACAATATGATGATGAGCTCTGCAGCCAGGCCAGGACACCTGCAAAACAAAGGACGATTTCCGCTGGGATTGCTAGCAATCCATTCCCCACAACTGTGAAGAGGAAAGAGCAAAAACAGAGTCTTTAAGTGGCTGCACTACACAAAATCAAATCATTCATTCCCTATGCTAAAACCACGAGGAACCCTATGGATTAGAGGCTGGGAACTGCCAGCGGGCCTTTCATACTACATATTCGTACCTTTTCACCCTACATATTCTACCCCTTCCTCTTTCTCACTGTATGTCCATATCAAAGGACACGAGTAAACGAGGTCTTCAAATTATAATTCACAGGAACTAAGAATGATGTATAAACTGAATTCCCCGAGCACTCGGGGCTCCTCTCACTGCCACACTTAGTGTCTTTCACTGTCCACATCTCTCTCAGGCTCTCTCGCTCTTTGCCTCTGAGAGGAGACCGCACTCTGCCTGTGGAGTGTTGCCCTATTTCTAATAAACTTTCCTTTTCACCCTAACTTTGACACGTGTGTTAAATTCTTTCTACACATTCTGCCAAAGAACCCTCTTCTCTCAGTGTAGGGCTTGATCCACCCTTTCCTTCCCGCCCCCCCCCCCACCACACACACACACTCAGGGAAATTTGCCCTATTCTGCATCCATTTCATGGCAGGGGAGGATTTGGACTTTGAAACACAAATTCTATTCTCAATCAATTGAGCTAGTTGTCATCCTCCTTCAGA